ACAGCTTCCTAGCTGGAAGGAAAAGGGGAGGAGTTGGGAAGTCAGGGTGGGAAGAAATTCAGAAAAGCATCTGAAACGTTGCACTGAAAATGCTAGTTTGCTCTACTTTCATGTCACCAGCAACAGAGCTTCGAAAGAAATTTCAGCTCGTAAAACCAGCCAGCATCACACAATTGCACAGGTCTGAGTGGATTCTGAACCCGTGCAAAGCCTTCACATGGAAGTGTCCTATAATTTCTGTCAATGTTGCAAGTATATTTCTGGCACATTGCTTGGAGTCACTTCAAGGCAATCACAGCCAGAGTCCTGGACTTGACAAAGAACAAAAGCTAAGATGTCCAGATGGCTAGGAAACATCTTAGAAGAGTCAGCTGCTGCTGCTGCTGAAATGGTAGCTCAGGTTTCTGCGAAGGGAAGCAAAGGGCAATCAGCAGCCAGAGAGCGGAATTTGGGGGCGAAGCGTTTTGGCTGTTGGTTTAGCTATCAGAAAGTCTTAGGCTGGGCCTCCATCTGCGCAGGCTTTGTAGATAAGCACATATTAAAACGTGCCGCATTTCTTCCTTTCACCTCTTCTCCTCTGACAGCTCCAATCACGGGCAGAGGACACTGGGAGCACGGGCTGTGCATACACAGAAGTTGCTCCAAACACTTCCCACCAGCCACTGGGAAGAACGGAGGCAGCTGTCCTGCACGGGCAATGCAAAAGCAGGAACTTTTTCACCGATAGGAACTACTGGTTGAAGCTCCAACAGGGTGGAAAGTTGTTAGGGTGAAGAGGGGACATCCCAGCCATCTCCTGCTGGCCTCGTGAAGAATATCTGACTGGGACAGAAAGAAAACTGGACAACAATAAGGCGACTAGGGGTGTGCAGGAAACCGAATAAAATATCTTGTGCTGAGCTTGGAACAAAAGGACCTCACTTGGTACATTCCATTAGAAATCACTGAGTATGCCGTGTTCAGATAAGACATCGAAATGCTTTGAGCACTGAGTATAAACAAGCCCCTAGTTCTCTACTGTTTGTCCGAGGGCCATAAAAATAATTGAGATGCAAATTCATGCTGAGCCCTACCCATAGGCAAACAATGTGCTTTTTGTTTGGCGGACTGCCTATCTACATGGGCAATGCACGCTTTTGCACTGGCCGGCATCTTTGCAAAGCTCAACAAGGTTTTCTGCCCCATTTTGCAGCCTAAAGGCTCAATAGCTTAGCAACAATACATGCCCATCCATCATGTAGGCTTTGATATTTTGAAATCCGTTTGAAGAAAACCTAGCAAAACAAGCACAGAACCACCAATTATTATGTGCAAAGCTAAACACCCCCGCAAAGGCCTGTGATATCAAGTTTTTTCCCCTTTCGGAACCTCCTCTTTTACTTTTACTCAGCGATATTTCATTGCCTTGTTTATGGCCACCTGTTCAGCGAATTAACGGATGCCTCGCAAAAGACGAACTTGGGATTCGACAGACATTTGAGGCTACACAAAGTCAATGAAAACACACAGACGCATTGTTGGTACATTTTGAACGCTTGACATTATATAATGTGCTTCCACAATTTAAATCTTTTCACTTGACTAAAGCCATTTGCTGCTCTTACACAATCTCTGAGATTCTTAACAATTAGGTAAGATAAGACATAAAAGAGGGGCTTATAATTGTCTGGGAGCCGCTATGTTAATACGAAGTCATTGTGCAAACAATAGGAACTGTTTAACCTGCATTAGTCACGTCACAGTCATGATCTTCAGCCTCTTTGAGGTGCACAAATGTTAAAACAACTTTCTGCCTTTGAATGTTTTTTTTTGGAGGGGGGATTGGGTTTTTTCAATCTTTAAGGTATGTTGGTCTGAAAGATGAATACCTTTCTCCCTCGTTTGTCTAATTACCAGCAGTCGTAGTCTTAAAAATAGCATTTTAGATGGATATGTTTGTTACACCTCCTATATGAGAATACCCCAATTGCACCAACTGATTTTTACCGTGTGTATTTTATGATGGATAAAGAGGTAGAGGAACGCCTATTTGCAGACAATACAGAATTGGTCAGACAGCTTCTACCCTGGAAGGCAATTCGAAAGATACTGAGAGGTTAAAAAAAATGGACCGAGAAAGTACAAGAATGGAACTGAATAGAGACAAAGGCAAACTTTGTGTTTAGGGGTTAACCGAGTAGGAAGAGCTTGTTAATAATATCGCAAGAGCAGCTGACAGCAACCTGAACAAGAATCCGCCAATCAAGGGGGCTGCAAAAAAGGGAAAATGCAATTTCAGGCCCCGTCAAGGTCCTGAATCATAGAAAGGAACAGTTTGACCTGGTTCTGCTTTGGTTAGACCCACCTCAAGTATGGTGGCCAGTTCTGGGCACCACATTTTCAGAAGTCATCGAAACTGGAAAAGGTTCAGAGAAGGGCAGTGAGGATGACCAGGAATCCTGCAAGGAATGATGGAGAAATGGAGAACGTTTCGCCCTGAGGAAAGGCAACTGGGGGGAGATACCATGCGATGCTTCAAATATCTTCAAGGGTGCCATACAGAAGACCCGTTTGCCCTTCTTACAAAGATCGCTGGATTTAAGATGCTGAAAGGTGGAGGGGAAGAGCTTGCTAATAGTCAAGAAAAAGAAACGTTAGGAAAACACTTCCTAATCGTAAAGCAGTTGGAGGGTCTTCCATTTTGGTTCCTGAATGGAGTTGGGGTTGGGCTCAGGGGCCTCTCCAAAGAGCCTACGGAGAAACTAAAGTTTTCTCTGCCACCTTCACGCGACAGGAGGATGGGAATATTGCTGTACTTTGCACGTAAGGCAAGACAAGGCAAGATTAGAAAATCTAAAGTGTTGAAAAGACTCTGAAACCTGACTGTGGTTAGGCTTCTTATGACACCTTAACCTAGTGTCTCTCAACCCTGGCAACGTTTTCGAAGGTGGGGCTTCAACACCCCAACACCCCCCCCCCCCCCACCCCGTCTGGGGGGTTTTGGGGGGGTAATAGACCCCCCCTCATCTTTTCCCCGCTGG